TTAGGAAAACTAAGAAAAATTAATTATTCGAAGTTCCCGAGCAAAACAATCGAAATTTCAATTTATCTTAAGTTCTTCCCCTCTTTGTTTCGAGGAAAAATAACAGATATTGGAAACGAAGCGCAATTAACAAGGGAATTTTTAGGGACGAAAATATTCTAATTAAACTCTCCCTTTATTGAATGGAACAGGTCGAATCAATCTCTTTTGTTATTGCATATGAAGCTATCGGCACTGCTTAGAGTTAAATGAAACTACCACTTTTATTTATTTGAAAAGTGAGACTGCATACCATCTAAAATGAAACAGAAGATAATTGAAAGAAGTTTTAAGAAGTCTTCATTTCCGGAATTGTTTTGTCTTATCAGACAAAGATTTCAGAGGATTAAGAGTTTCTGATTTTCCTGGTAATTATAAAAGGATTTTTATGATTTTGAAACGTATTTACTTTTAAAATATGTTTGAAGAGAAAAAAAGTTAAGTAATTAGATTATCGTCATAATTAGAAAGTTTTATAAATAGCAACATAATTTTTATTGAAAACAAATATTAATTAACGTGTTTCTTAAATCTAATTAATTAATTCGTTTCAACATTTAAGTAGCCGCAAAGCCAATAAATTAAATAACAAGTTAAAAGTGCATAATTTGCAAGATAAAAGCATAAACGCACTCTATACCCAATATTGTAGAGATGTTTTGGAAGTTAATGAGTATTATTCAATTAAGTTTAAAATTTATAAAAAAGTTTAATGATTTTTTTAAAGATAATAAACTTTAATCTGAGGAATGGTAATAATTAAGGAAATGTGTGATGGTGTGTCTTTTTAAAGTAACACAGCAACTTTGTAATTTAGTTTATGTTAGTTAAGCATAAAACAATGAACACTTTGCGCAAAATTATAGTACTTAAACACAGTTTATTTAAAAAAATAAATTAAGCAAGTCGATGCTACGTTTTTCATTAAGTGACAGTTCTTTAATTTATTAGAATATTGGGCTTCCTTCTATATGTAAAACATATATTCATATGTTTTTTTTCGTTTCTAAAAAAATTGCTGGAAAAAATCTAAGGTTATATACTTTTTCGATAAGTAAAAATTCACTCTATATCTGCTAATGCTTTGAAGTCTTGTAGGAAAATTAAAATTAATAAATATTTTTGTTTGTTTCTATAACTTTCACACCAACTATAAGGACATATTATACTTATTATTAACACTTGGATAAAGGCCATTACAATTCTTGAAATAAGGATTTAGATCAATCTTAGACTTAAATTTGCCAAAACCTTCCTGTCAAAACATTGAATCACTAAATTGTATATTTCAGTAAATACGTATTTATACGAAGTATCTAAACTGAACAAAACATGTATGATATTCTGTTGACTTTAAAGAATACTCAAGGCCATGAATTTTGCTTGTCAAGAATGATCAAGTATGAAATTCGAAGGGAAAAATGCTTCAAGTACAGTAAAAGTAAAATCTGTTCACACTAGATCTTCTGTGATTTTTTAAACTTTCATATAATACGACTTTAAATTTTAAGGCTAGTTCCCGAGTAGAATTTGTAAATAAATTAAAGTCTGTAAAAAGTCTCAAAAGCGTGATCTACACCTGATTTAGACGTATGCAGTTTCTTCGTTCACAAAAGTGAGTGTTTGTTTCACATTGAATATACTTAATATTGAAAGTGAGGGTCAAAAGGATGCTGCTGAATTCCACTTGCATCAACTTTCAAATTTTGTGCTCTTTGTTTGTTTTCGTTAATTCAGTTTAGGTAGTTTTTAATCTTGAATTTAACTTTTAGTAATTTTGTAACTCATTTGATTTAATTTACTTTTACCGTTGAAGTTTTCTAACCTGAACAGGTAAATTTATTTTTGTGTGTTAATTTTTTTTTGTTTCAATGGTTAGCCTTAAGAGATTTTTTTGTAAGAAAATGTATTTTCTTGTCTATTCTTTTCTAAAGCAGGGGCTTACCTACAAAAAGTTTGGCTTTTTCTATGCAGATTTCCCTCTCCCCTATGCAATTAAGAAACTTTAAATTAAAAAAATCACAAATCTTATTGTAATTTTATAAAATATCTTATATTTCAGTGGCACGTATGTGGAAAAAGAATACTTTAGGGGTGCCGGCCACGAATCTCATACTCGAATGCCATCGTGATTCCAGGTAAACTATGTTGGAAGAAACGTACTGATTAAAACATTTTCGAAAACTACGGTAAAAAGTACCGACAGTTTTGGTGCAGCATCAACATCCGTATAATCTATTTTACAGTAAAATCCATTTTTAATATCAAATACTTTACCGTAATTTTTACAGAAATATTTATTTAGAGTGATTCAGTTATTACTGTAATTATTACTGTAAAATATTACGGAATATCAGATTTTTTGTTCAGCAACATCCGGTAATGTTACAATAAGAAATTTCGAAAAAAGGATCCTGAAGAATTGAAATGTTTTTTTTCGGTAATAAGAGTGTCTAATGAGATATTGGAAGAAAGTCTATTGAAATTCTTTTGGGTCTACCAGTACAGTAAAGTAAACCAGCTTCAACCCTACCTTCCATCTTTTAAATGGTGTAGTTATATAAGTTAATAGAATTACACCAGTTCCAGTTATCATTTTTATTTTCTTAACATTATACAGCAAGGACTATTCGAGGAACATGGTGATGTAACAGGCTTCGTAAAAAAGCAATATGTTCTTTTTTATAATACCTTTTAAGGAGGATAAGTTTTGTCCCATATTTATTTTATTTTATTTTACTATCACACATTTAATAGCGTTGGTAATATAATTTTAAAAAATGCGTGCGGTAAGACTTTTTAATTTTAAAAATCTCTTGCGTTGCTTTGCACTAAATGAGATGTTTTTTTTTATTTTCTTCATTTTCTTTTAAACTCTCAAAAGATGAACATAAATATGACAATAGTTTATAGACAATAGAGTATAGATTTAACCAAGATCTTTCAATAGAAATTTAAAAACATCCTAATATATTCTTCGGTTGTATTCTAAGAATTGATATATTCTTTTATTCCAGACCAATGCAAATGCCGTAAAAACGATTTCACAAGCTCAATTCTCAATTTTCAGAATTTTATTGAACTTTTACTGTTTGTTTATTGGTTTGAATTGCAAAAGAAGTTAGGTTAGAGAATTTTCTTTCACTATTGATTTTCTTAGACCGAGAAGAATTTCTTAGAACTTAAAGTAATCCCTCTGATCTGATCCAGGGAAGAAATACGTGATTTTCGATAAGGCAATTTTTTAAAAATAAGCAAATCGTTTCCTAAAATACCTCAGATTCTTGTAAGAAGAACATGATTTTCTAACAACACATTCATTTGAAAGTAAGCAAATCGTTTAATAAAATAACCTCATTTTTTACACTTTATGTAGTTTTAGCTTCCAATATTAAATAATAAAGGTTGTTTATAAAGTAGCGCGTTAAGGAATAGATAAGTGATTAGTTCCATATCCAGTAGGAATAAGTCATTTCATTTTTAATTTTCTATTTTTACTGATTTTCAATCAGAAGAATTAGTCGACTAGTGAGGATTTATATCTTTCTTATTATCTGACTGGCCACCAAAAGAAAAATATGGGGTAAGAGATATTTCTTCTATTTCAATGTTTTTGCTGACTTCTTTGACGTCATAAACAATGTCTATTTTATTCAACTCGGTCTAGATATTTAAAATTACCGAGGCCTTGCATCTTTCTATTTCAGTTAAATCTCTCTTGCCCTTTTTTTTCTGGAGATAACCATGGTATTGGTATTTTCTATACGTTTATCAACAGGCAGAAACTGTTACAAAATGGTGTGCTTTAAAACCATTCTGATTATATTTTTTTTCATTCTATTTCATGCTGCCTTTCATTATTTTTTTTTAAAATTAAATTTTGGTCTAAGTCTAGTTCTAATGTACCTTAATAAACGATTTGTCAACGAGATTGCTCCATTGGACCAAAGAATATACAAAGGGGAAGAAGTGAAGATTTCATTGGCATAATGTAAACCAGTCTCCCAAGGTTAGGTGCAGTCCCTGGGTATAATGAAAAAAAAACAATATTTAGAGTTACAACAGTGGAGGTTCGTAAAACTTGTTTGCAACATGCATAGTTAAATCTGAGTACGTTGTTTACTCTGTAAGTTGTTTTTCTGGTATAGCATACAGAACCAAGCAGTTCCCAGCATTAGTTCGGACGCATCAAAAGACGGTCCGCTAAGTCTAAGTAATTGTCTTCCCCTTTAAGTTGTTTTTATGGTATAGCGCACCAAATTGCGCTGTTCCCCGCAGTAGTTTCGAAATTCACTTCTTCCTCCATCTATATTCTTTAGTTCGACCTCATTGGAATACATTCCGGAGCTCATTCATTTGCGTTAATATGTTTTTGTCACTTTGTCAACTTATGTTAAGATCAGCTTTCTTTTTAAATATTTATTATTTCTTCTAAGTACGTTGCACAGGCATTATGCGTTGCTATAATGCGTTGTTATGATTTTAAACAGTAGAAATATGTTTTAAAAATTGAATTAGTCAATAAATAATTAATGTCAATTTTATAAAATTGTATTTTTAAAATACTGAGATAAGTATATTTCTAAAGTACTAGGATTCATTCTTATTTAGACACACTATTATACCCCCTTTGATATAAAAATTGGCAATTGATTATTTGTATATTTTAGAAAAATCCCGTATCTTCTCTAAAATAAATACTCCTTTTTAAAAAATCAGAGAAATATATATTACGTATTAAGGTCTTTTGTGTTGTAAAATTTTAATTTAAGCTACTCATCATATACTTGAACATAGTAATTGAAAAAAATGAGTCATATGCAATAATGGTGTGTTTCATATACTATTTTATAACATAAGAACACCTTATTAAAACGCATAGTATACCATCTTGTCAATAAAACTCAAAAAATGAAATAAAAAAAAAGTTTTCATTAGATTATCAACAGCTTTTATTTTACCTGAAAATTTGCTTTTTGCAGAGCTAACTCCATTCTATTCCTATCCCTTTGATAATACACACCAGCAAATATAAGTACGTTTAATATAAGCAGTGAACATCCAACAGCTATTGTAACACTAAGCGCTGTTGAATATATCCCCATATCAAAGGGATTAGATGAAGAATCTGTAGTTCTTTCGTTAGGAGGCACTGTAGATGATGACTCAAAATTTTCAACAAAATTAGTCAAGTTTTCTGCACCAGCTCCTTTTTTCATTCCCGGTGGTAAATTATTGAGCTTAATGACTATTTGAGCTTGCCTAGTGGAAACCTCTGAAAGAGGTGTGGTTGAATGAGGAGGAGATATTGTTGGCATCGGTAAAGGTGGTGGATAAAATACTTCTTCTGGCGTCACTTTTGCAAGATCACTGGGAATGTCCCTTACTTTACCATCATACGTGCGAAGATTGTTGTGGTCATCAAGCATGTGATGACTGTAGCTAAGATTTCCTTCTCCTGGTCTGTTTAATGAGGGAATGAGATGAAGCCAAAAAGATAAACGATGTGAATGGTAATGGTCTTTTACTTTCGATTTCAGACCTAGAAGATAAATAAAAAAGATTAAATTCTAAATTATGCAAATTTTGCATATTAGCTGAAAACATAGAGTCATGTAGTCCTGTAAATATCTATCTATCTATCTATCTATCTATCTATCTATCTATATATATCTATATCTATCTNTAGATAGATATTTTCTTTTCAATTCTGTATGTTGTGCATATTGGCATGCATTTTTTAAACATTTTATCCCAGTCAAATATTTCATGAAATTAATTTTTGGTAGCATTATTGATTTTCATACGAATATTAAGTAAATGAGTTTAACACAATAATATTTATAAATGTAGGAATTAAAATGTATGTTGTATAATAGAATTATAGCGACCCATGAAATTTGGTTTGATTTGTGACAAAATTATGAATTATTAATATTTCCTTATGCTTAAAAGTGTTAAATTGTTTATTCTGTTGCGTGTTAAATTTGTGTTAAGTGTTAAAATTAGAAATAAAAACACTCGCATTTTTAGTATATTATTGTTTATATAAATTTGCGTTTGTGTGTTTCAAATAGATACACATAACACGAAAAAAATAACGATAACTTAAAAATATATTGAAGTTAAAAAACTTAATTTAATAAAGACGAGAGAAATATGATATTCTTTAGTTGCCCAAAATAAAATTTAAGATTCTAATATAAGTCAAGTAAATAACTCTTCATACAATTTATTTATTCAAATTAAAATAAAGGTAAGAATAACTTATAATTTTACCCACCCATTAAAATATATCTCTGATGGAGGCGATCGTATGGAGGCCAATTTACACCACTGTATCTTCCAGAATCTCTCTCATCAGTTTCTTCATCCTCTTCTAAGAAAACAGCGTTTGGATCTCTAGAAGGCATACGAAGTAAGCAGTTAAGCATAATAATAAGAAAATTATGTAATTTTTTACAAATACGCTAAACACTGTAAAAAAGTGCCTATCACACAAAAAAAAACACACACACACACAAAGAAAAAAAACTTTGGGGATTTTATTGAGAGGGATATCAGTTTTGTTTTGAATTATTATTTTAAAAACAAGTGCATATACTACTGAGTTAGAGATCTATGTAGTTAGAAAAGCAAATTTTGAGAATTTTTGCAGTTATCTTTGCGAAAAATTAAATTCTACTTTTTTCCCTTAGTCTGTAGTTCAAAACATGTATGCTGTAATCATAAACACTCATGAAAAATTTTAGAATATTGTCTTTAAAACAGCATGAGATATCGTCTTTAAAGTGATGTAAAACATTAAAAAAATTATTTTGCGAAAAGTACATTTGAAGACTTAAAATCATTCGTCTACTCACTGTTATCACCTTCTAAAAAACTACTATATTTTTGTAAATAATTTGAGTACAAACAAAGGTAAAATATGTTTGGACGACTAAAAGTACAGAGATTCTAAACTTGAATGAAATTAACTTGATTTAAACTTAAATGAAATTTCTTTATTTATCTGCTTGTAAAAAAATGCTCGGGTCTAGTCACTTCATCTGAATTAAGTTGCGAATACAAATTTAAACATGTTTTTAAAAAGTACGTTGAAGCTGGAACGTTATTTATTAAATTTAAATTGGGTGTATAATTTAACCACTTGGAAAAATATTAATGAAAATAACCAAAACATACTATAGCAGTTTTCCTGTCTGCCACCTATTTAAAATCGTCAGTATTCGAGCCAAAAGATACACTTTTACGTGACGTAAACCTAAATTGAATGTTTTTTATTCAGAAAAAGTAAACTTTAATGGTGAACACCTTTCAAAGTGAAACAGGAATAAGAAATATTGTCACATTTCATGTTGCCTATGTTAGTTGTAGAAAAAATTCAATGTGACTCGAGAGTGTCATTCAGAGAACCTTCATTGAAATAGTTTCTTCTTTTTTTCAATAGTTAAAGCCTTTTTAGATTACAAAAATCTCACATAATTGGAAAGAAAAATCAACAATTTATTTAAATTTATGGAAGCCGGCCATGAAAAAATGTAGGACTTTATCTTTTTTGCTAGTGAAATGTGAAAAAAGGGTGTCAAGTTTAATAGATTGGAGAATTCTGAAATACGTGTTATGTATAATTTGTGCAAAATACGTGTTATATGTACTAACTCTAGTAAATAACATTGTTGCAGAAATAGTTGTAAACAAACACGGTTAATAATGCACCCTGACCAATAATAATAAGAAAAAAACATTCAAAGATAATAGGTAATATATAGGATGGTTAAAACTTAGATTATTCGGTTTAGATCCATGATCTGGTGGATAGAAATGCTGCAAAAACTGTAGAGTACCACCCATTCGAATTTCGTGTTGTGTGTTATTTCAAGTTAATACCAAAACAAACATTCATACACGCTTTAAGGGTTGTAATTAAATCTAAATACCAATAGTTGATAAAACTTACACAAAGATTAGATGGAGATTATTTTTTTCGCTTTCTTAAACAACAGCGTAGGTTCATTTTGGATTTTGTCTGTAGTCTTTTTTTCCTTCTTTTTCACATCGAGTAAGATTTGCAAAAGTAAGTTATTGTTTTCTTCCACACCAATATTTGGTATCTACTGAAGCAAATTTAGCCACTATAATTTGTATGTACGTTTTTTGCTGTGTAATAAAGGTTATGATTTAAATTTTTAATGTCTATAAACTGCATCAAATAGTTTTATAAAAGTTTAATTTTTACCCGCTTCGGTTTCTTAAGCCTATTTTGAATTTACATTAATGTTCTATATATGATATGTGCATGTTTGGATAACAAGCTAATTTTATTTAAAATAAGGTCGTGCTTATGCATCCTAAATTTGCGATTTTTTGCTTTATATTGTACGGTAAAAGGAACTATATTGATTAATGTGTTTCATATATTACTGTAATTATAAATTTTACTGAATAATAACTGAATAAAAAATATGGTGTTTACTACTTTACACCAAGTAGTGTGAGAGAACATTTTTGGTGTTTCACTACACCAGGAACAACACTTGGTTCTTGGTGTCGAGGAACACGTAGTGGAACACCAATCTGGTGGAAAGTAGATGCCCCTGTTTTTGGTATTCAGATACACGAAAACTTTTACAGTTCATAGATCGGGATAAAACTTTGTATGTAAAGAATATCAACTATGGAAAAAGAAATTTGAAATAAAAATAAAGCTATTAATCTATGCAATTTAGCCTACATTAATTTAACGACTCTAACGAAATTTAAAGTGGCTTAAAAAGACAGTAATCACTACCATAAAATCATTCTGCATTTTAGCATTACAGAAGAAATGCATCGAAAAAGCTGATAGAATACTATATGTGCTGACAGGAGGAGGATGGCCATTTTAAATTAAAGTAGATTGAAAGCAATAGTAACATCTCAAATAATTGAATTACTTTTTGGTGTAATGAATTTTCACTTTTCCCAGATGACCTGATTTTAATTCTTCCAGATTTTACGCTTTGATTTAATGCAGTTTGCTAATTGTTTTTTGCGCGTGTATTTTTATTTACCAAAGATTCGATTTAATGAATTAGTTCTTCTTGAGTCATGTAATGTATATGTTACCGTCAATGTAGAATATCTGGTATTCTGAAGTGTCTAAAGTCGACTGGCAAAGCATGAAATCAATTATCTTATTCACACACTGTGTAGTCATTCGATAGAATTGTATTGAAAACTCTGTATCTTTCTATACAATGACTAGACATTCTATAGAATGCAAGATTAGAACATATATAGCAAGACTGATGAATGCCATTGAGTAATGGTAACATGCGTGCCAAGTTTTATTGATCACAACGGGTACTACGTGAATTAAACTAGTGTTACTGTTTTGATATGTGACAGGATAACTGTTTAATACATGATAACCATCTTAATTGTGTATAAAACAGGAATTAAGTATATCGATATTAACAAAAGATTAAAAAATATGTAAGAAGTCAATGAAAATGATAAGAAGGAGATACAAGAGGCCAATGAGAAATCAAATTGAATTATTTTCAATTTCTGCAAAATGAATCAAACAACCAATTTTTTAAAAAGACCTTATGAATAAAAGGCAACTAAGACTTTTACTCTAAGAATTTTTTTCTTTGGACAAAAGCCACTACTATAATACTTAACTCAACTTTTATTAGTAAAATTTACGTTTATTAAATTATTATATAACAGAAGAGAATAAAGTTTATGAAAGTTATTAAGAAAATATTTACTATTGGAAATATTTTTTTACTTAATCAGTGCTGAAAAATGTAAAGAATATTATTTTGTAATGCAAATACATTCCACTTGGTCTTGATAAAGTCAATTTTCAAGTCCCCAATAATTTTAATAAACTTCAAAACTCCACAATCTCCTTTCACTCAACACCTTAAGCAATAAAGTAAGCACTACTCGTGAAAAGACTACTTACGCCACCTACAATATAATATTTTTTATCGTAGTCTAAAGAGGGTTTTGTGTAAATTTTAACTCTTGCTTTATTTTTACATCCTCTTACTTCGTGAAATTAAAAAGTCAGGCTATCATTTAATTATAAAAGANTTATTTTCAATTTCTGCAAAATAAATCAAATAACTAATTTTTTGAAAAGACCTTATGAATAAAAGACAACTAAAACTTTTACTCTAAGAATTTCGTTCTTTGGACAAAAGCCACTGCTATAATATTTAACTCAACTTCCATTAGAAACATTTGCGTTTATTAAGTTATTATATAATAGAAGAGAATAAAATTTATGAAATTATATTATTTATTATTATATATACAAATATTAAGTTATTAAGAAAATATTTCCTATAGGAAATATTTTTTTTTTACTTAATCAGTGCTGAAAAATGTTACGAATATTATTTCGTAATGCAAATACATTCCACTTGGCCTTGATAAAGTCAATTTTCAAGTCCCCAATAATTTTAATAAACTTCAAAACTCCACAATCTCCATTCACTCAACACTTTAAACAATAGAGTAAACACTACTCGCGAAAAGACAACTTGCGCCACCTACAATATAATATTTTTTATCGTAGTCTAAAGAAGGTTTTGTGTAAATTTTAACTCTTGCTTTATTTTTACATCCTCTTACTTCGTGAAATTAAAAAGTCAGGCTATCATTTAATTATAAAAGATAAACACTCAAAAATATATTACTATTTGATCAATCAACTCTAATCTAACTGGTGTGAATTGGGGACAGCATAATGCTACATTAAATTTAATTAATTTATTATTTTTTATTTTTCGTATTAGGGGATTATTTTGGCATAAATTGCAGCTCCATTTTTGTATGGTATGTATTAAACTCAATTTAATTTATGTGGTTAAAAGGATTATATTTATCGGATTAAATAGTACTTCTTTAATTAATTCTGTTAAAATAATTGGGTCGAATATATAAAAACAGCGGGAATGAAGATCAAATAAAGGCACAGAAATGAACATATAATTTTGTTTCCATAAACAAGACCCTTTCTCAATATCAAAACCCAATCTGTTGTTTTGTTTTTCAACATTGAAAAAGGTTTTTGTTTATGAAGCCAAAACATAGTATTTCCATTTTTGTTCTTTAAATTTTTACTTTATTCACGTTGTCTTGTTTCCTTCATACAAAGAAAGCAATTATTCATTTAACAAACAAAAAAATTTGTTATTTATTTTTTTTTAAATTTATTTTTTAAAGTGAGAATTAATATTCTAGTTAAAATACAAAATAACGTTATGTGAGATCAAGAGTGTTTACCCTTTGCATACTTAGCGTCAATTTTTTGGCTGTTGAATTATAGATGAACATAAATCTAGAAGAAATTCAAAAGTTAAAACGCAGGAATAGGAGCGATAATTTCTTTTAACATCAGA